CCCCCAAACCCTGTGGGGCAAGCTAGGAGCCCTGATTGGCTAGGCCCATTTCCGGTGCCTTCCTCACCTCGCCAGCCCCTGACGAGGAAGTTCCCAGACCATGAGGATGAGGGGGCATTCTGAACACAGCCCATGAAGACTCTGATGGGAGACGATGCTCATTCTAATAGGTGGCCGACCGGGAGGCAGTGGGAACACATTCTGACAAGTCAGAAAATGCCTCGGTTTGTGGACGCTACTATTTTTTTCGGCACATTTTGTCTGATTTGATTTTAGCATCAAGCCAGACATCGATAGCCTTGGCAAAGTTATTAGGTTGTCAGAAAAGTCATGACATATTTTTCTAGGTTTTTTCTATGGAAAAATGAGTCATGACTTTCCCAACAATCCAATAAAAGGACAAATTATGGGAAAAAGGGGGGGGAGGGGCGAACTGCTGCACAAGATCTACACTCCTACCCATTTCCCTACCTAGGCTCCACTCCAGAGGGGTGACCACTTACAAGTTCAGCTTCAGCTTCTTAGATATTTATTCTGCAAGGAAACTAAGGGGTCTTTCTGATCCTGTTTTGGAATGATACCCTCAAAAGACAGCAGAAACGCATTTGCTAATGTACGGTGGTATGAAACACGTACCCCACAGAAGAAAAATGGCTGCCGGGCCATTTTTCTAAGGGTGCCGTGGCAGGAGAGTAAACTAGGGAATGATGAGGGCCTGTTGAACTCTGCCACCTATGCCTGGGGGCCTCTTGGCACCATCACCAACAGAGACGCTGCCATGCTGATAACCCCTCAGAGCTACATTGTGGAAAATCATGCTGCTAAACCCAAAGCAGCTACAATGGTTCTGGGCTGGCAGGTTTGTGAGAGGAGGGGAGAGAGATTCAAAAACTCTGGTCTCTGAGGAAGATAGCACTCAGTCTTTAAGCCAAATGTGGGCTGTGTCTGAGAAAGGGACATCTGGCCCTGTCAGTAATAGCTTCCAGGGGAAAAAACGAAAAAGAAAAAAATAAAAAAAGCCATGTCTAAGTTACAGTAACTGCTTCTGAAATAAAAAGGAATTCATAACCCACCCACCCCTTGCATAAAACAAACAAACCAGGCACCTGAACCAGCCTTATTGTGAGGGGTACACAATGGTGTCAGTTGGGTGTTTCTACAGATTATGAGAAACCCTCTCTTCTGAGTGCCCCAGTGGCTAGTCAGTCGTTTGCCAGAGCAGGGCACTTCAGGAAGTGATTCCAAAGCTAGTTTCCTCCTCCTTGGTCGACAGGAAATTTCAACAAATTCACTGTCTGGGAAGCGTAAGCAGAAGTCCCTATCTTCTCTGGCTAGTCTCAATTAAATACTTAACATCCATCATCAGCTTCATCATGAAACTCCTTTCCACAGTCCAAAGACCTTGGGACTATGTCAAAAGGACATTTGCCACTTGGGTGCACCATCTTACAGAATGCCCAGGAAATTCCTCTAAGGTCCCATTATCCCTCGCAGTGGGCCAGGGGCCACCCCTGTAGCTCCCTGGCAGTAAACTCTCAGGCCCTCTCTCTTACTGGCTGTTGGTTTGGTCAGCATGAGACATGGCACTGATCTCCCATACTGGCATCAGAGAAGGCGGGAAGAGACACAGGAGACTCGTGGGCATGCACGTAATGGGATGAACATCTGATCTAACGGCTAAACATGGAGCACACGGCGAGGGCATGGAGGAGAGGGACACGTGACGAGGGAGGCACTACAAACAGGGAAGCGTGTTTGGGGTGTTGAAATACCTACCATCACAATATTCCAAATTCAAAGACTGCTTGTATCAGAACAAAGAAACAACAAATTTAACCGAAGGTGGTCATTAAAGGAAAGGAAATGAGACAGGAGCTAGTCAGGATCCCTCCACCAAGAAGGAAGCACCTACACCTTTTCTGAGAATGCAGGTTGCAAACCTGCAGGTGGAACATGGGTGCTTAATGTGGACTCTTCTGGGTTGTTCTGATTCATTCTGGAACAAGTGCTACAGACACGCATATCTAGATATGGTGTTTCTTGTTTAATTTTGCAGGCCTAGCAATGCTGCAGTATGTATGCCCTTTAGCTGGTGCATGCCGTTCAATGCCACGCTTCTTTTTCAGCACTGTAAAACAATGTCAGCTAACCAAGCTCCTCTGTACAGAAATATGTGGGTTTTAAAACATAAAACAAAACCAAAACCAAAATAATAATAATAAAGAAAAGAAAAGAAAGAAAGCCTGCCCCAGAGCATGTCTCGCAATGTCTCGCTGCCAGGGTTTAACCCATTTGAACCTTCGGAGCAGTGGTGCTCTCTGCTTGGTACCCGTGCCACCCAGACACGCAGGGAGGGCCAATTGCAGGATGCTGGCTTTCAAAGCAAAAGGATAAATGCCCATCCATGTTTGTGAGGGTTGTGGTCTCAATCTGGCCACCAGGGTTATGTTATTTGTAAGAGCAGGGGGGAAAGAGAGAAAGAGATAGTGGGGAGAGGAAACGGTATAAATTTGCAAGGAAATTTGGAAGAATGAGGATCATTAGTCATTGATGCCAGTGGGGAAAGCAGAAGGGAATGAGGTAAAAATAAATTGTCACACTAAGGTACCAGAAGGACAGAACGCTTTGATTTTCCCAAAAGGCCTCGCAGTGGTAATATACCTGCACGGTTTGCACCATAAAGTCTGTCGGTCAAGCCCGAACAGTGCCCGACACTTCTTTGGAGTATTTGCATCTGTTAGCATAAGGTAAACACAAAAAAATACAACACAATGGTGGGTTGTGCTCAGTTGGATGTGAAATCTCAGCTACAGCTTACTTTTCTTCTATATCACCTTGGTTCTATTTGATAATCTTCCCTCACCAAGGACATGAGAGGAAAGGACTTCTATGAGTCAAAAGAAAAAAAAAATAAAACAAAACGATAAAACACACACACAAAAAAAACAACCAGAAACCAAAAAACAACAATGAAAAATAAATAAAAAGAGAGAGAGAAGAAGAGGGGAGAAGGTGACGTCAATTGCTTCTGCCTAGGCCAGGATTCAGATCCTGGGCTGTTACAAGGAAGGGGATTGGCAGGCAACATTTCCTGGGAGGGGGCACACTGGGGTTTGCTGTCGCTGACCCGAGGAGGCACAAATGATGCTGTTTTACAGTGGCATTTTGGCTAGCAGCAGCGGGAAAACAAGCACATCCCTCATAGAGCCCATCCACTTGGCAGTGTCCCACTCCCTCGTGTCTCCTAAGATCCACACACAGAGCTACAAAGCAACAGGCCAGAGAAGGGGGAAAGGATCGAATAGACCAGCTGCAAACCAGCACAGCGAATCTGGGAAACTATACACACCTGCAAGGGCCGCACCAGTTATTCTGTTGATCAAGGCCAAAGCGCGCTCGGCATTTCTTAGGAGCGCTCAGGTCTGAATGAGTTCAAGAAAGAAGCGAGCAGAGGAGGAGGAGGAGGAGGTAGAGGACATGGGCCAAAGGGAGAGAAAGAGAGAAAGAGGGAGGGGGAGGGGGGAGAGAAAGATACAAATAAGAAAAAAATAAAAATAAAAAAGGGAATAAATCAATGACCTGGTTACTAATTGCAAAATATTGACTTTCGTTTTTTAACTTTCATTTAAAAAAAAAAAAGGTAAAAATTACATTCTTATTCGACATGTGAAATTAGCTGTTGCAAATAAAGCTGCAGTATCCCTTCTGTAAGGACTGTCTCTCAGATTCATTTCGAACTGACAAAGGGAAGTTAGATATGCAAGAACTCACTGGTCAATATTTTTCCTCTTTTAGTTCTTTCCCTTTTTTTTTTTTCCTCTCAATTTTTGTTTAAAGAAGAAAATAAAGCGAAGGAGGGAATTAAGTTGGTAACATGCTTTTTTCTTCTCAGAGTACAACAGTTTAAAAAAGAAAATGAAAACTACAAATAAAAACAGAACAAAATGAAACAAAACAGAAAGAAATAAAGAAAGAAAAGGGTTGTGGTTTTGGGATATTGCAGCTTTTGGCATGTTCATCTTTTCTTATCTATTTTCATTAATATTAAGAGAGGAACAGATAAAGGTCAACAGGCGTGTGAATGAGCTGTTAAGAGTTAGTGAGAAGCTCATAGCAAGCATTGAAGCAGGCACAGTCAGTAAAATGCTAGTAGGTTTGCAAATTAGGAGCAGAAAAGCAAAAGGAAGAAAAAAACGAAAATAAAAAAAAAAGCAAAGGAAAAAATAATCATACTGCGGATGCATGCTTGCGTGAGAAAACTTAGTGGGAGCAATGAAAAAATGCCATTAGATTAAGGAGGTTTATTACTGAATTCCTTCCATTTTTTTTTTTTTACCAGTCTCTTTTAAAGAAATACTGCATATTCAATTTGCACAGTTAGTTCAACTCTAATAAATCACTGTCATCACTGCTTAAACCACTGTTATGGGAAAAATAAATAAACAAACAAAAGTTAAATTAAACTCAAAAAACAACAAAAGCAACTGAAAAAAAAAAATCTACCGAAACATACGAAACCGTGGAGATGGTCATTTTAAAGAATGTTCAAATGTCATACGTGTTTAATGTTAACTATAATGGCAAGAAAAATTAAAAAACAGTTTATCAACTATTTTAATGACTCAAAATGACATTAGCACCTGTAATCGGAGGAAGTGAAAGGCAAGGATTTAGGAAACATTCGCTGTGTTCTGAAAAAAAAGAACAAATTATACAAAGCCTTCAAAAGTTTTGTTTGTTTGTAAAAGCCTGGCCTTCTCCAAGGGACCTCTGAGATTGCCTATGCAGTATTTCTAATTTCTTCTAGAGAATGACAAACCTCCTTAATTTAAAATGGGTGCAATTTACCACTGTAAAGGCATGCATCGGAACATTCAGGAACAGCCCAGTTAATATCAAACACTCACATACACCCCCCTCCTGCTTCCCTAAGCCCCTCCTCATTCCTTCTCAGACACATACAAAATAAGCAGACTATATAAATCCCGACAGAGGCATGCCTACCGCTCACTCTTCAGTTACAGGCTTTGCAGTTATTTAAAAACACATTCCACTAGAATTACAATGTGCTTTTCATGCAACAATGAATGTTACTAGCTTTAAAAGGGCAGTCATGAAGCAATTAAAATGAATAAACAAAAAAGGCTGGCTACGATGGGTTCCCCCACAATGTCCTGGCCTTGAGTTTCTTCTGCCTCCCCCAGATGGAAGCCTAACATAAAAGAGTGGTCCTCAGACTACCGCTCCTTCCTCCATCCTCACGGCTGTAACTTACCATTGGTCTCTCCCGGCTGCTTGTCCCTTTTCCTCTTCTTCTTCTTCCCCTAGATGAACAGATGAAACACAGGGAATTAGTTCAACAATCAGACAAAGAGTGGGCCTGGGCTCACCTGGTGGGAGAAGGCAGGAGGAGGGACCACCCTGCCACCTCCAGCCACCCTCCGCCCCCAGGAGGTGGTCAACTTCCAAACCCCTCAAATCCAATGCCCTTGTACCGCACTCTGATAGGAGAGACACACACGCATCTTAGGAGAAGCTCTGCCGTGGCAAAGGGAAGACCTCTTTTCTCGTGTGCCTATGGCCATGCTCACACCTGACCTAGAGCCCCTGACCCAATAAAAGGGAAGAAGCAGACTGGATGAGGCAGATCCCAAGAGGAGTGGCGTGACAGGGCCGGAAACAAAGTCAGAGCTCACTTCCCAGGGACCAAATGGATGCTGCAATGTCCGCACCGGCTTAGAACTGCACTGCCCACCACACTCAGATCTCACTGATTATGGTGAACGTGTGTCCCCATTCTGAATTTAGAGAGTAAAAGTCTTAGCAGGGGCTTTTCCAAGAGCTGTAGCATATGCCTTAATTTTAAGAGACTGGGATGGGGGAAGAGTAGAATCAGGAATGATCTGAATTCCTTTCAAAACTATTGGGTAAACATCCACGAGGGAAAATTTCCTCTACTCTCTCCAATCTTAACAGCAGGTTGATAATGCTAGTAAAGATTAAGATGTAGTGAGCACCTATTAAATGGCAGGTATGATTCCAAGAGTGTTACGCAGAGTGACTCATTTAATCCATGAAACAACCCTATACAACAGGGATTACTGCATTCCAGTTTACAGAGAAGGGACCTGAGGCTCAGAGAGGTTAGGTCATTTTCCTGGGGTCACACAGTTTGCAAACCTCAGGGCCAGGATGAAAACTCAGGGAGTCAGTTCCACAATCCTGAACCACCAGACCCTGATGCCTACACATTTAACGCCTGGTCCTCTAAGGAAGCTCTTTCTAAAACTTAAGAGTGATAAACTGAATGGAGTCACCGGCATTCTCCAATCTGACCCTCCATGATTATCTTGACAGTGGGCTCATGGATACACGTGTGGGATGGGACTGGGGAGAATCCTGTAGTGGTGACCGCCACACTGAAGTATGAAATCAGTTTTCCTCACTCCCCTGGTGTCCGCCCTGTCCATATGAGCTAGCTGCCTGCTATGAATAAAAATGAAATGGTCTTAACACTTGTACACGTTTCAGATGATCTAAGGATTACCTCTGCCTAAAGGTTCTCACAGGATGTGGGCATCAACTCTGAAGAAAACAAGACCACGATGCTAGAACACTTGAGAATTTGTCAGGTCCTGCAAGAGGCAGCTTAAGGTAGAGATGCCATGGATTCTTGGCTCTATCCAAGGGCCACCAGTTTTAGAGAGGACTCTGCTTTTCCCTCACGTCAAGGGGCCTAAGTCATTTAGGAAATTTATTGTGGCCTTCTGTTCATGGCCTCTGTTTAAACATATTCTATTTTCTTTGTCTACAATAAAGGGGAATAAAAATGTTCCCGTACCTTCTCATGAGGCTGGGGTCTCCCGAGCCTGTATCCCAACTTCCTGTGTGCTCGCCCATAAAGAACCAAGTGCCACCTGGCTGTCTTAGAACAGCAGCCTCACATAAAACTCCTACGAGGCACAGAAATGTTTCAGCCTCAAGGGTGTCAGCAACCACACCCCCACAGGCTTCTAGGCCATCTGTAATACTGTGCTCACCCACTTCTAAGTCCTTACAATACATTCTGAAGACTCCTGAAGATTCATCTACCTTTAGAAGCTGTCAGTTTAGGGTACATAATTGAGATGTTAACGATTGAGGAGATTATCATTCAGACTACAGGCTTATGGAGAAAGTATGTTTTAATAAAGTTAACAAACACTCCTTAGTAAAGGAGATACGTCTCAAAGGTGAACACCCCATTTAAGTCTTGAAATGCCAAAAAGGTCTAATATATGGGGATGGGAGAGGGGACCTCAGATGAGCAAATGGCTTAGGATTTATCTCTCTCATCTAATGTAGAAGGAATTTCAGAGGAAATAATGCCCCAGTATAATGCCAGGGATTAGATATTTCTAGTATCCCCACATTTTGTTTGATGCTCTACAGAATGTGCTAAGTTTAACAACCTAATATGACTATTTTACTCAGTTGTATTTTCCTAAGGTTGCAGCATGAGGGACTTCAACAAGTTCATGGACAAGTGCATGGAAAAACAAAAACACAACAAACAAACAAACAAAAAAACAGAATTAAAAAATAAGTTCATTTGGGTAAAAAAAAATTTTTGAAATCCATGCAGTTTTTCCTAATACACATCTTCTATGAACTTTTTTGAAGACCCCTCCCTCCCATGCTCTTCCATCACTTGGCTCAAAGAGCAAGTATGGAAAAGAAGCCTGAGTTTAGCTCTGGAAAAAAACATTTCCCAAGAAGAACCTGTTGATTTTACAATGAATGATCAAAGTGATTTATAAAAATGACTATGTCAATTACATTAAAAAAATATGAAAAAATTTCCACCATAATGAAATACAAAAAGCTTCAGTTCTGAGAGTCTTGCCCCCAGATTGTTTCTTGAGGCACAGAAGGAAGGAGTGGTGTGTGTGTGTGTGTGTGTGTGTGTGTGTGTGTGTGTGTTCACTGAGCCAATGTAATAGGACTCTGACAGTAACACTTGCAACAAATAGAGTTCCCAGGGCCTGCACCCCACACCTACCTCGGAATTTTCTCAGAAGTCTCCTCAGGCATTCCCCTCTCATAACCAAAGATCTTTTGAATATACAACTGAGCTAAAATGCCTCATAGACCTCCTGAACCCTAGGAAACACTCCACAAAGTCTCAGGTTCATCTGTCTAAATGACATGCAGGCAAGTCGAACATGACATCCTTCTGAAACCACTGCAAAGTCTACCGAGTAGCTCCGTGGATGTTTCGTCCTGCACAATTCCAGGGGTACCCGTCACAAAGACCATAGTGTGAATGATACACCCTAGAGTTGTATAGTGCACACCCTGTACAGCTGGACATGAAGGTCCTACTATGACCCAGAATGTCTACTGGGAACACAGTGTCTAGAGAGAAGATGAATTCTGATACCAGTCTAGAGTATTCAAAAATTGGATCTGTAGCAGATAGAAGCCAGAGACATACTCGATGAACTTCTGACCTGAAACCAGGAGAGCAGCTGTCCTGAAATGATATAACGGTGTATGTAGAGGCTGTGGAGCCTGCCTGCTGCTGAGAAGCTCTACCTCGGGGTCAGGTGGGGGAAGTAGCAAGCTTGAGGGAGAGCACTAACTTTCTCATCTTCTTCCTTTCAGCTCCAGAAGAAAGGCTTCTCCACAGCACACATGCTGAGGACAAATGGAAAGGTCCCAAGGAGGGAAGACCCTGTGAGAGCCTATTGCTGGCAACAAGGGCTCTCAGTAGAGCAAGCACGGCATTCAAGAGGTACTAGCACTATGTCCTGTGTCAACTCCCAGGAGGAACAGCATCTACTGTGCCAGAGTGATGGGGCCCAGACGGAGAGGAGCGGGGACAAGAAGTACACCAGCAACTATGTATTTAAAGGAGTGAGAATAAAGAGGAGGGACCTCGAAATAGCAATAGTCAGAGTAAGTGGAAAGCAGCCTTCTCTCAGGACTACACATTCATGCAGATGCTTGAGCTTTCCATGTGGAGAGCAAGTTCGAGGAGAGTGGAAATGTCTGACCTGACTACAAATGCCCACGATATCACCTACTGCAAACTCCCAATCAATAAGAACTTAGCAGCTCTCAGCCCTGCAGACAGAGCTTCTGCACCACAAGTGATGTCATGGGGAGGGTCGAGTCAAGGAGCACTGACTGCCGTGACCTGTGGTTACATGACATCAACAACAGGGGTAGAGGGGACCTGGGCTGGCAGAGAGAGAAGTTTTGATTTCCCTCAAAGAGGGGCGTAAAATCACTGTACAAAACCAAACGCCAGGTCATAAAGACGTAAGCAAGATAAGAGATATTTCATTGCCTTAAAGAGGAGAGAAAGCAGAATGTGAGATATTGGGCAAAATGCAACATAAGAAATAAGGGTGAGAGGGCCAGTAGGTGGTATAGTTGTTAAGGCACTGGACTCCCACATGGCTGACCACAGTTCAAGTCCTGGACCCAGCAGCATCAAAATCACTCCTAGAACATGTGCTTTGCATGCCCCAAACCCCAGGAGAATGAAAGAGAAGGGATTGTGGTATGGCCATCCACCCTGGAGGGGTGATTTCTCACTTTCTCTCTCTGTGCCCCCCCCCTGCTACCCCGTGTATATGAATGCGTAGTAAGGTGATAAAGAAGAGGAGGCAGGGGAGAAGGGTGAGGGCTGGTTCTATAGCACAGTGCTGATGGGCTGCACAAGGGAAGCCAGATTGCACATAGTGACCTTGGTCAGATCCTTGCCTGTTCAGCCTGAAACACGCCACGTACCCATGTGAGTACCCAGGACCCGATGGGCTAGGGACTAGAAAGGACAGCAGCATAACCAGGACCTCTGGAAGGTGCTCCCCTTTCCTTCCCTCCCCACCCCCATGCATGTACACATTCTATTATGAACAAAAGGGAAAAACAAAACCAAACAAAACAAGTTTTTTTAATCAAATAAACTTAAAAAAAAAAAAAAAGAAAAAGAAAAAGAAAAAGAAAGAATGGTGAGAAGTAACAGAGGTCTCCAGAGCACAGCAAGTTTGTGGAAAGAAAGAAATGATCAGTGTCACAACTACTGCAATTAGTCAAAGTGATAAACTTACAATGTTCTCTAAAAACCAAGAGAGGAAGTTAGGCAAATCCTGCACCAGCAGAGCCCAGGAACACACACATAATGCACACCTTCCCTAACCCCGCTGGGTCTGGAGTTATTTCACCCCCTTCTGCCAAAGGAGAGCAGCTACTGGCTATTGTCAGGGATATTTCCCTCAGTGCCCTTCTAAGGGTAAGTTTTGTTATTCATTCTTAAGGGTGAAGACCTCCAGTATGGGCAACTAAACTCTCTCCCTGACCCTACCCACTGGTCTTCCCTACAACGTCACACTCTGTTGCTGAGGAGCATGGAGAGCCTTATCTAGAACTTAAGTCCTTGGGGTGCATCCTAGAGCCCTGCCTCTTCTAAGTGGGAGAGCAGGTGTGGACAGCCCCAAACCAAGCTCATCTCAGTCCTAAGCAGGAACCCTGGAACACCCCTTCCCCCTCCTGCCTAAAGAATGATTGCATGCCAATAGAGCCACACTGGAAGCCAAGACCCTCCATTTCAGGGATTCAGCAAGATGCCACAGGTCTCGGATGTGGATGGACTGAATGGCCCTGAGGCCCGATTTGAGTTGGCAGTTACTGTTCTCATTGTTCTTACGGACACTACATACACCTCTACAGTCTCTTGTCGTATGGAAGATGAGCCACCTACATAGTTATCCCGCGCGGACCAGCCGGGGTACAGCTGCATGTGAAGCTGTCGCTCCTTCCGGGCCAGCTCGTAGTATTTCGCTTGCTCTTCTCTGGACAGTGCATGCCACTGGAGGGGACATGGAGTGGGGGAGAGAAAGAATGCAAAACATCACAAACAACACCTTGGTTTGCAGGTGAGTCCATCCAGCAACGGTGTAATCTGCAGATTCCAACAGTTTGCAGGGGCCTGACACTAACGCGAGTGCTCAGACAAAACTGGGTTTATTATCTATGTCGTTCGACCATTCGTCTCTCGCTGGAGATGGAGGAAGACTATGGTTGGGCTGGTCTGCATGTCATTAGAGAACAGAATTACTGGTACTGACTCAATAAAGGCCATTCAGGAACTCAAAAGGTGGCCAAAGGGAAAGATTTCTTCAAAGAAATGGGGACAGGGCCATTCTGTCACTTGACCCACGGCATCCTAGTCCCTTCTTCCCCCTCTTCTCCCCGACAAAGAGGTCACCTACCCTTCGCCCGAGGATCTGGTTGATGGCCGCGCTTTCTTTCAATGTGCACTCAGCTACGACCTTTGCCCTCATTTCCTTCATATACAACATGAATGCATTAAGAGGTTTCTTTATGTGGGGTTTCTTCTTTTCTTCTTCCTTTTTGGAGTCCTGATGCTTTCTGGTATAGACAGACACAGCCCAATAAACAGTCACACACCCCAACTTCTCTAAAGCCCAGAGCCCATCTTCTTGTCTCCTTAACTCCCAAGCCCACTTCCACTTTCAGTTTTCTCCACCCCGGAAGACAGGACAGAAATAGCTTGGAAGGGGTGGGGGAAGAGACATTTTGTAATCGCTTCCTCAAGTTTCACAAATGTACAATTTTCCCAAGCCGGGGGGAAAGCACATTGTTGCGGTCCCCACCTCCGCAGGGTTCTCTCGTGCTCTCAGAACAAAGCTCCAAATGTTCCAAATCAGGCCTAGGGGGCAGGGAAGTGGTTGCACATCCCAGTGCATCCAAGTACACACGCACAAAAGGAGTTCTGTTGTAACCCACAGCGGTACCATCAGCGAGCGGCACCACTGTGCATCTTCTCCCTTCTATAAGGGAGCCGAGAGCCTACCCCAGCCGGGTGTCCTTGCCTGGAGCCAAACCAGACAAGGCCAACCTCAGGCAGAGAGCCACCGCCCAGCAGCCACCACAGCAGCCACCAGGCTTGAAAAACACTATGGCTAAGAAGAAAGTGACAAAAAATAGCAGCACTTACGAGCTATGGAGTGAGCCGACGTCACTCTGGGAGGATTCCTGTTTAACTGTTGGTGTGACTATGGCCGGATGGGGGATGCCGGTCGTGTGTAGAGTATGATGTGGTGGGACCATATGGGGAGGGAACCTAGAAGACAGAAAGCTGTGTAAATCGTCAGAATCAAAATGAATGAATGAGGAGGAATGTGTACACACAATTAAACAAAAAAAAAAAAAAAAAAAAAAAAAAAAAAGAAAAGAAAAGAAAAGCAAACCCTTTGCACGTAACACTCACATGAAAGCAACCTAAGGCATATGAAACCTGTCAGCACTAATTAGCGATAAATTAAACATAATGATTCTCATAATGTCATTAAAGCCAATCTTCCCCTTCATTATTGCTACTGACACGAGACATTATAATTTTTAACATCTTTAGCAAAAGACAAATTCAACTGATGTACTTGGGAAGAAAAGTGGGCTTGGACTACCTGCCGGAAATCGCACGTCCACTTGTTTTTTTGAGGCATTATTAATGGCATCTAAGAAGACAATTTCCTAAGTCCTAATCAGCTCCAGAATGAAAGGTGAAATCTTTTGTTGTATATTGACAGCTAAATAAAATATTAACGTGGTTGAAATATACATACATTTTTGACAATGCTGTGCATGCCTCATTAGGCCTCATTCTGTTGATGGGAGTGCAATAAAATTTTTATTTTTCTTTTGTTGCTGTGCCCCATCATTTCACAGGAATGAGAGAGAGTGAGGCAGGAAAAATAGGGGAGAATTCAAATATTCCCTATTTGTTTCTCAGCATAAATCATGGACATTCTAAATACACTGTATCCCTTTGAGGAAAAAAGTGAAAAAAGCGCGCACACACACACAGATAAGTGGAAAGATGTGAAAAAAGCGCGCACACGCACACAGATAAGCTTTAAATTCCGATTTGTATACCCTTTCGCCTCTAATAGTTAGGGCTCCTGAATCACCTTTACTTAATATGTTGTCTGTGTGTCACTGAAATGCTTTCTCAATGATAGTCAAAGTTGTAAATAAAGAAAAGACACAAAATATTTGTGTTTTCTCCTCTAATACATGTTTAGAAAAACCCTCCAAAGACAGCCAGGGCCCAAAGAACTTATAATGAGTTTCAAACTACTTTTGGCCCATCTGCAAGTGGACAACTGAGTCAAATGAACCGTGTTTTCTGGTATGAAATGAGTCACCATGATTTGTACTAGGTTAAGAATAACCCTTGTTAAAGTAATACAGATTAATGTAGAGAACAGAATAGAAGAATGAGGTGCAAAAAAGGGCAGAATCCCCTCAGCCCCCAAAACCAAAATGGCAGCCGCTGTCCCAACTGGCAAGGTTATTTACACATGTGAGCAGATGAGAAGCTGTTCTGATGAGGGAAACCCGGGATCACGGTAGTGGTTGCTTTCTTAATAAATCCAAACCAGAAGTATCCAAAGTGCTGTCTGGCGGGAACTAGAGGTTCCTAATGAGGGTTCATCATGACAATTCTTTCAGAAGGATACTGGATTTATTTATAAGCGTCTTTCCATGTATTCAGTAGAGATTGTTTCCATTAGCCAAAATCACATCGCAAATGTTAACTTGAAAAATAATAAAAAATTGAAGGACTGACTGAATCTACATAGGTCAACAATAACAACAAGTCCATTTCTGAAGGGAGCCCACAGCCACAGTAGACACTTGACACGGAAATTCCACCCTGATGGGGCCCTCTGCTGACACCCTCTTTACAAAGTTATGCCAGTGTTGAAGTTTGGTAACAATATAATTTTTAAATAACAATCATGCAAGTCCTTCTAGGGTGTTTAAGGATGTGGAAGTGGGGGGGGTGGGGGGGTGCTATGGGAATGGGGAAAGGAGTAGAGAAAAAAGTAGAACCCAACCTTCTTCCCCTTCCCTTCAAAAAAAAAAAAAATGAAATAAAGGAAAGCAAACCCTTGGGAGGCACTTGGGCTCCCAAGTTACACCCTGTTCCTTCCCATTGCTCGAAGGCCTCGGAGGAAACGTAAGTTAAGAACATGTGTTCTTGGAAGCCCTTGGGTGAAGTGGTGGGTGGAGTGGCAGCTTTTACTGTGAATTTTAAAGACTTGACATTCCTCAAATACATATGTTCCCTCCCTGCAGAATGAGAATATGTGTACAGACATATAAGGAGGAGAGACGGATAAAAACTGTGTGTGTGCATGTGTGTGTACATACGCATACATACGCATACACCAAATACCACAGGAGATACCGCAATCTGAGTACACTCTGAGGGAAAACTCCCAATGCAGTCACGAAGAACTATGTCCCCAAACCTATACACATATTCATGTATCTGGAAAAGGTACAGCAGAGAAAGAGGCTGTGTGTGAATGCGCATGTGGGCTCTTCACATACCTTCGCTCAAGAAATGCCTTTCTGCAGACAACTATTTCATGAAATGCAATAAACACCCTAAAAATTCTAAGCAGCTCATTATATACCCCCGTCTGCTTTTATGGCTCCAAGCCAGAATATAATGATGAACCTTAACTTGTTAAGGACAACTAATTTTTGTTTCTGGCTGTCTCAGGGGCTTCTCTCTTACTCACTCTCACTTTACTTCACTGTTGACACGTTTCTGTTAACTGGATGTCATCTGCCGGCCTTGATTTTATGCACAAGCAGTAGGATGCATTTTCCTGTGCAACAATCCTGCTTTGAGTTGCATTAGGTTTGTCATTATTCTCTCATTTTCCCCCTTGCACTTGTAACATTTCATCTCTTCCTGCCTTATTTTTTGTGAGCCACGGTGCACCCACATTATGGTTTATACATGATCTCGCTCCCTTTGAAGCCGGCAGATTTCAGAGCCCGCTCTCGTCAGGAGAAGAGCCTTGCACCAATTTAGCAGGCTGAGGGCCCGGAGCTCCAACATCTCAATCTAAAGGGGGTCACAGGGTGGCACAAGTGAGTGTCAGCAAGAGCTGTTTAATTGCCAATCTAGGCTTCTCCATGGTGTTTAAAGTATAATGACCCATCACTTAATTCTGAGAAGTCCTGGCCCCGCTGCTGAATAGAATGAATATCAAAGGGTGTTCTGGAACAGGGCAAGCTGCCTACATTTGCTATAACTGCCATAAGTATAATAGACCTATACTTCTGTCGCCCCATTACCACAATAATGTCTTTAATTTGCTGTATACGCTTTTTAACTAGCTACCTTTCATAAGGCCTACCTGGGGAATCGGCCGCCTCCCCCCACACCTCCAGCCCCTAACCTTTCTTCTCATAGTTCCCATCTTTCCTCCACCCCCCTGCCCACCTATAACCATCGACTAACCTCCTAATGATAATTCAATTGATCAGCTTAACCTCAATCCCTATCTTGCGATTACTTCACCGCTTTTTAACCTCTGCAATGCTCCAAATAAACAAACAGGAAAAAATAATCAGGTGCAGTACACAGATGCTGGGATGGAGGCAGGATGCGCTAGGACTACGAGCTGCTCAGGCGCGGCGCCCCTCCTGCGAGCCTCCCCATTTGCTCCCGTGCTCTGTAAGGTTTTGATGACATTATTCAACGAGGATAACCTCCTCTTCTCACCGGATAGAGAACAGACAGGCGTTTTCCTTCCTACCTAATGTTGGTATGGATTTTGAAATCTAGATGATGTGTCACACGTGGGAATCGGAGCTTTATATGATAGTCACGGCGTAAGGACAGACGCTAGATACATTACGGATTGTTTTTCCTAACGAATGGGATTCTTATTCTCTCCCTTGCCGAAATCACTGTTTCGGGGGGGAGGAAAAGAGGCACCCTGGTCTGCCTTTCCACACTTTCTCTGGTCTGGGCTTCTCACATCGACTACAGAGATTGGGGGAAGAGGCTGAGGGACAGCATCCTTGCCATGTAATGCATGTTAATTTAATTATGCGCTATCATCAAAATGGATTGGTTCTCTCAGCCCATCAGAAAAGTCTAAACCTCCACCGATTTAATTAACTGGACTGAAAATCAGATGAACAAAAAATAAAACTATCATTAGGAGCAATTAGTGACGACGTAAACATACTGATGCAACCAGTTTGTAAATAAACTAGCAGCCACTGGGAAATTAACCAGAATTAATGAGGGCGAGGAAAAGGAGAACACAGAGATAGGTAGGTTGTATACATATTTGTATATTTAAACGGAAATATATATAAACGTATGCACAGGCATAATGTTAACTTGCAAAGACTAAGAGCTGCATGGGCCAATGTGGCGAGCCACCGTGTGGCGACTGAGCACTTAAAGTGTGCCCAACCCAAACTGAGAGGCCCTGAAAGTTTAAGACACCCACTAAATGACAAATAGTATAAAAAAGGAATGTAAAATCTTACTGGTAGTTGTATGGTAACACCACGCCAAGATGATAATATTTTTGTTCTACCGAATCAGATAAGATATAGTATTAAAAATAATGTTATGAGGGTCAGCCAGTGGCATGGTGGCTAAGGCAGCTAGATCTCAGTTTGAGTTCCAGACCCAGTAGTTTGAAAAACATGCCAGGTACATATGCATGTGTGCCCAAAATTCCTAAGGGAGAGTGGGAAGGAATTGTAGCATTACTTCCCCACCCCCCATGGGGGTGCATAGTTTCTCATTCTCTTCTCAATCTCTCTCCAGTGAGCACAAGTACATCTAACAAATTAAAAAAAAAAATTTAACATAGTCTTGTCAATCATTTTAAAAACTATGGCTATTAACAATCTTAAGATTCTCTTTGTGACTCACATATTTCTACTGGACAGTGTTAGGGTGAGGGGATGGGAGGTTGCTTTTGACTTAGAATCAGAGTGTGAGGTTTGAAAAGACCCATAATCCTTTCTCAAACACTTCTTTGTATGATGAAACAACCTCCACTCCTTCCTCGCTTACATAGTCCTCCACTCCTTTATACACAACAGAGAAACGATTCCTGACAGAGCTCCACATGTCCTAACTGCTTCTTTCTGCTGTCTTAATTTCTTAAAACATACTGCTTAACTAATGACTGACTCAAAAATTCAACCTAGAAAGACACAGCTTACCTTGGAAGTTCAGGGTAATTCTTCAATATTTTCTAAGAATAAAGTCTAATGCCACATCGGTCTCACACTACTAAAATTACACAAAGCTGCAGTCCCTGGGTGGCCTGGAAGCCATCTAGAGAAGTTGCCCAGGGCCTTTGTTGAAGCCTCAGGTTCTTGTAACTCACCTGGACATGGAAGCGTTGACAGTCAGAGCTGTGGGGTAGGGGTGTCTGAATCCTCCTGTCGTGATTGGGTACACCGGCTGACCTTGCCTACAAAGAAGGGGTACAAAGTGAGAGACTGAAAACAAGGGTGGGGGTGGGGACAAGAAAAAGAAGAAACAGGAAAAGTTCTCTCTGCACAGTAAGCTTTATTCTCATTTGATCAGAACAAAAATCTTGGGGATTGTACAGGAAGGATCAAAGGGAAGAAACACAGAACAATTTGAATGCCATAAATCTGATAGGAATGGCTAATTAAATTTTATAACCTCTGCTTATGTCAATAGAGACCCTCTCCCCAAGCTGAAACTAGGTGTTTTGTTGTAATAATTAAAGGCGAAGTCTCGCTTGCTTTAATGGAGCCATCACACTAATTGAGGGCTACACATCCAAAGGAAAACAATAATGAATGTAAATTTATACCAAAATAAAGTACAGTGAATCAAAGGACTTCAGTTGCGCTTTGGGCCTCTTTCGGTATTTAGATCTCGGTGAGAAAACATTAAATTAACAGAGCTTAATTTGTAGCCTTTTGTCAAATTAACAAGTGTTGACAAGAGTTACCGGGGGGAGCGTCCCCAAGAAGAATTGTGGGTAACCAATAGACAATCACACCTCATTACAATAATTAAAAAATACAGCAACATGCAAAATAGCATCCTCATGAAAGACACACAACTTTTTCTGACAGAGGGTTGTCTGAGTTGGCTATTCCTTTTTATCTAGCCTTCAGATATCCCCCCCATCAGCTGGATGGGGCAAATGATGACTGAGAACCATTTGAGGAATGGTCCCATCTATTTAAGAAATGGGTCACAAGCTTATGGTCATGGCTACCCTCCCAACAAAAATAAGACAAAGAAATAGAGGATTTGTATGTGGTATAGCTACTTCATAATGCAAACTAGTTTTTATAAACAGTATATAATTTGTTCAATTTGGATGCACTTATTAGGGGGGTAAACCACTTCAAAGTTTTATCTTTAAGTCTTTGAAAGGTCTTCCCCAGACACCTGAGAATTGTACCAGGATTTCTTTCTTTTAGCATTCAACACATTGTCCTGTTTTGTTTTGTTTTTGAAAGAGAGGTCATTGATAAAATTGAAGAAATAGATACACAGAAACATACAACCATGAAAGACGTATTACACGCACACAGATGCAGTCACACATACAAGGCAAGACATACATTTCTTTTTTAAGTTGAAAAAGGCTATCTGGGCACTGTCAAGATCTAGGACCAATACTCAAGAAGGCCCCACAGGCTGGAGTAAGGGCTCTTGCCTCCACATCTGCACCCTTCATAGTTAGGTGATGCATTCAATAAGCACAGAATCTCACAGAGAGGCTGACTAAATAACATGGAGCTTCCCAACAGACAAAACTTTCCTCTGTTTTTTTTGTCAACCATAGGGGTGAGATTCAGGATGGGGATTGTTAGAGTATCACCCCCACTTGCACTCTGCATCTGCAACACTCAAAAGGCAGAACATGGTGGCCTCAACCCCATGATAGGACTTCAGTGTGGACCACCACAAACTGAAGGACCGTGCTTGCTTGGGTAGAAGTCCCAGGAGCCTCCAGCAATTCCCAAAGTATCTGAAGGGTACTTCTGTCCACAGAGCCTATGGGGACCATGGGTTCAGAATGCTAAGTCTCAATGACCTCTTTCCTACACAGTCTACCTGAATGGCTGTGGTCTGCCTGCCTTCTCAAGGACATCTCAGCAATATCTTCCCATGCCCTCCACTGCCCCCTCTCAAACCTGTCTTCACACACACACACACACACACACACACACGCACCAAACAATAAGCACACCCATGTAAAAAAACAAAAAGAAAATTAAAAAATGGAACTCCTTACTGTGGTACTAACCATCCTAGCGGATGGGGGATTTGTCCTACGGTGCCGGGCGATAGTGGGTAATACGGAGATATATCTGGAGGGTGCGGAGGCCGTGGGATGCCTGAAGAAAGAAGCAGCATGTTAGGGGCAAAGTGGAAGAGAAGGAAAGAAAAAAAGACTGTTGGGGAAGTGGAGCAGGGGCATCTTCCAGAATGAGGGTGAACCACCATCATAACTGAAAGAGTTGTTCATAGATTTCATCTCATTGGCCCTCAGTTTGAAAAACGAACTGGTCTGATTTGAGATGTTTTGGTACCCAGACACACTCAGGAAATGCCACTTTGAGTACTTCTGCCTCATACATACACTTGGCATAATTATTTAAAGCTAAAAAATTTTTTAAATAAAAAAATAAGGGGCCACCAGGTGGTATGGTTGAGGCACTGGACTCCCACATGGCTGACCACGGTTCAAGTCCCAGACCCCGTGGCCTGAAAATCTCAACAAATAAATATATAAATGTTAAAAAAAAAAAAAAAATCTAATGGCCTTGGCACATTCATGTATTAATTAATATTAATTTACTTTGCCTTTACAACTCGTTCCTACATCTCTTTTCATTTTAATAACTTGCTAGCCTCAGTGTTACTCTGATTTCTAGCATACTTTTTTGATCTATAGCTTTTGAAAAAGTTACTCTTGCTTTCTTTCAAAACAGGTAACTCCTCTATACTGTCTTCATCTTCAACTTTGATGAGCTGGAGAAACTTTCCAGATGCCACTGGGCATCCTATTCAAGGCAGACTCAGACCTGAACAGAAAAGGAGACGCTGGAGGCCTGTACCCTCGATTCTGGAGCCTCATTCACTAGGACAGAATCACCTGTGGACTCGTCCCACCTGCTGACGGGGCACCCCGTACACCACCGGGCTGAGATCCTTCACAAGGCACACGGACCGACTTCTGAAGGTACACGCCACTGTACGCGCCTAAATTCCACGAGAATACACACTGCAAGTAACCTTTAGAAAGCAGGAGCACTGGGAGCAACCCTGACAGACAGGAACTGACCTAGGTAGCCCATGTGGGAAGTCAATCGCACACCACCACGGAATTAAAACGCAGTATTGAAGAGAACAAGCTTTATGTTCATGGCCAAAAACTCTTCCTTTTTTTTGAAAATTCATTCAGGAAGTTTTTCATCTGTAAATTAAGTCTCCCTGGGTGACATTTTCATGTAGACATTGCTTTCTATTACAAAAACCAAACAGATTAGCTGGGCTGGGACCCTATACCAAGCGATTTGCACACTTGAAAGAATGTTCGCAGAGGAAAAGTAAACAGTCCACAGACGTTAATCATATGTTTTACGATAACCATTTAAAAGCTATTCCCTGTACTACCATTATTTAAATGAGACGCTGATGCTGCCATTCACTCGCAGAGCCTGGGGCCGGCTGGCGGCCTTCTCCAGCTCTCTGAGCTCAGTCTGCACTAGCACAATGGGGGCTCAGAGGCCAGTGAAAACCAGCTCGTGTGTGGCTTCATTCAGGGGCAGTGAGGGCTGCCTACCCAGAGAGCCTACCTCAGCCCAACACCAGCAGTTCCCTCCGACAGAGTGACGTGGAACTTTTAAATCCTTCCTTCCAATGAACTGGCTGGGAAGAGGACCCCCTAGCCAAGCACACTGTAAGTCTGGCAAGACACATCCGGCCTTACCTGTTCTCCCAAGACCAACCCACCGGGAGCGATAGGGTGGTTAAGATCTTGTTGCTACAAAGTAACCCTGCTTTCTCTTCCTCTCCCCTCTGAGAGAAAAAACAGTCAATGAACAAGTGGGACGGAAAGCCATGTGTAACAGCTGAAGGCTCTCGTGGTGACTTTGGCCCGAGACCCTACTGGTTGTTCTGTAAAGAAGCAAGGAAACCTTCCTGGGCTTCAGCTTTCGCATCTGTAAAATGGGCTGGATAATACCCAGGAACTCATAGGGGAGGCAGTACCCAAATAAATCTGCATAGGGAATGTGAAACCCATCCTGATGTGGTCTCTTGAGATTGCACCAAGTCACTGTCACATATCTAGAGTCCCCCAGTCATCGAGGAAACCCAGGCATAAGGGAGCCACCTCATCAGGTTTCTCACTCTCCCAGGAGGTTGAGAAGGAGCCCAACAGATGTCTCCAATAGATTGCTGCTTCCAGGTCTGCCTGGCGTTCTTGGAGTGATAAGCCAACTCCTGAAAAACACCAAGGAGCTCACACCAAGTTCCAGACAGCCTCTTCAAGGGTCCTCCGAACTCTTGAGCACTACGGTGAACCTCTCCACAGGGGGTGGGAGTGTGGGGGGAAGAACCACCCTCTGCCCGGGCTTCAGCCTCCTTCCTACATTCAGGAGAGGAACTGGAGCCTCCAAGCCCATCCCCACCCGAGGCCACACTCCCCTGGCCTTGGAGTCCCAGGACCTGCACTCGGCTTGGCACCCCAGCCCAGGGCCTACCTGTTTTGGGGTCTACGTCGGCTGGTAAGTGTGGAGGTGGGTTTCCCGGGGTGAAGTGTTCATTGCTGTACGTGATAAGAGGCGTGAGGGGGTGGACATGGTGAGGGTGCTGCACCACCGGCACTTTGTTCGACTGTGGGGAGAAGAACAGAGAAAGATGCCATCAAGCTGGTTCCAGCACCCAGAAAGTCCACAGTGCAGGGCCCTGGGTCTCTCCCCACCCCACCCCCTGCCACCACATCACCCTCTCCCCTGGACTTTGCAAGATGCACTCACTCCACCCACCGGCCTACAGCCCCACCCCTTTACAAAATAGCAAATAGTTATAAGACAGCTCTCTGGGTTGCTGTTTTGGTATTTCCCTCCCCACTGAGTCTGGCTTTTCACATATTTTCCCCATCACGGAGCCCAAGAGCTTGTACTTTTCCCATCTGCAGGTGAGTCGGAAGTGGGGACTGTAATCTCCTAGGTTTACTGTGTTCCCTAGGTGTCGAGGGGAGTCTCCTATCCCAGGGCCCCACTGGCAAGGCATCTGGGAGGGAGGCAGGCTTCACAGGGGATTGGCTATCGAAATCATTTACAAGAAACCCAGCAAAGCCCACATCCCACCCATCCAGCCTCCTGATCCACCACGCCCTGGTTCCTAGCCCCTCTGGTCCTGAGAAGCAGCGGGCCTGCTACAATCCTTTATAGGCAGCCTGGATGCAAAGCTCCACTCGTGGTTTGGGTGGGAGTGTGAACTTTAACAGAGTGCTCTCAGCTGCCTGGCACGCACCTGCATATTTTATGCAGATTACAGCAGCCCTGATTCATTAGGAATTTCATTAGGAAGTCATCAGGGAGCACTAATAAATGAACTGGATGATGATGAATTGGGCTAATAAAAGGTACGTGTTTCAGAAATGGGGAGTTTTCGTAAACAAAGTGCAGGCATTTTTGGGTTTAGGAAGGGTAGAATCTGTGCAGAGAGGCAGAAAGAAAAAAGGCATTTTAAATATGTTTCCGGCTGCCAGGCCCAGGCTTCCCCAAGTTAGTCTCCTCTTTTCCCCCCACCTCACTCTCAGCCAGCCCACCCCCCCTGCCACAGCGTTGTGTTGTAACTTGGCCCTGCAAGATCACAAAGAAAAAATTAAGCTGAAACAAGCGAACTACTGGGCCATTTACTGAGAGTAATCCAATTGCAAAAAACCCTATTCCCAATAGAGGATTTTCACTAAAATCCTACAACAGGGACATTTAACCAGATTAGGTACCAGCGAAGATAAAGAGGCTAGTATTAGATGATGAATGGATTAGAGTCAAGTTTCATTTCAGAACGTGTCTTCATTTCCTTTTATTACTTTTAGGAAGGCACAACTTGCATTAACATCAAGGAAAAGGAACTGCATTAAAAGGAAAGAAGGAAGGTCCTAGTGCTGCCCACTAGCGCCTCCCGAGTTCAGGGCCACTGAGCAGTCAGTTCTCGTTACTGGTTTCCTTCTGGTCCTTTGTTTTTGATGGGCAAGGGAAGGCATAACATGGGAAGGTCCTTGCTGACCACTGTTAATGGCAGCAAAGGCATAGTTCATGAGCGAGTGTAACATTTCCATGGGTTTGTTTAGAAAGAAAAAGATGGCCTTTCTAGATGCTTCAGGGGGAAATAAATACAGGAGAAAAAAAGGCTTCCAACAACCTTATTAACTGATTCCTATCAATGACTGGACTCTTTCTGAGAGCAAGGGTAGCTAGTGCTCATAGGAGCCTTTTGTTGTGATCGTGTTGCAATCGAAGCAATTAAATTAGCAACAAGCACTTCCTTAGCGTCTGCAGCCATGAAGGTCTGTCTGGGTAAGGCCACAGTCACTGGCGCGAGGGCTGCTGCCCCACAGATCTACTGTGAGGACTTTAACACTTCTGTCAGGGGCAACCTGAGAAGTAATGAACAAATATGTGGGGACTTCAAAAAGTTAGTAGAAAATGCAAAAAAAAAAAAAGGGAAAAAGGTTTGAATTTATTTGGGTGCAAAAAAAAGAAAGGGTCAATATCCATACATCATTTCTTCATAATTCACAAATTCCATGAACTTTTTGAAGATCCTGCATAAGTTCCTACTGTGTGCTGTGGTAGACAGGAACACGAGAAGGAAAGGAAAGAGAAGGAGGAGGGAGAGAGTGGAGATCGCCGGAAAGAAAGCAAAACGATCACTGCTGCCTTCTATACACTTTCTGATCGGAAAGATACGTAGAGATTGACATGAGAGAAAGCGCGTCAGACGCAGATGATTTAAAAGAAGTGTGGAGGGGCCAGCAGGCTGCGTGACGGCTAAGGCACTGGATGCCCACATGCCCAACGGTAACTCAAGTCCTGGACCTGAGGGCTGAAAATCACACCAGGCACATGTATGTCCATGCCCAAAATCCCACGCAGAGGATGGAGAAGGGACTGTGGCATGGCCAACCCCCAGGGGTGATTTCTCACACTCCCTCTAACTGTCTCTCTCTCTGTGTCTATCTGGTGAGTACATAAGTCCTATGGCAAAAAAAAAAAAAAAAAAAAAA